CAGGAAATGAATGCACTCGTTTAACAATGTTGGAACTGTCCAAATGGGAGTCCGTACAATGGTGAATGGATGAAGGCATTGGGAGATGGGGGGTAGATACTCGTGTAAATTTGGTCATCATGCACTGAGTGCTATTACTTGCACTCTATTCCGTTGTTCGGCGAAAGCAACACACTGCTCGATTAGTTCCACCAAATTACGGTCGGATAGCGATCGAATTCGTTTATCCAACACCCTGAAATGTGTACAAAAGTGGGATAGGGGATGGGTGGTTGTTATACACTCATGTTCGCTGCGAATGAAGGGGCGTGTCAGTGGAGCTCGCGTGGCCAGCCCGTTCTTCACTACCTGTTGAAGCGGGGGACAACAACAATTGGGGGAAGACGACTGCTGCGAACTATACGATACGTTTTTCGAAAGAAAAAAAGGAAAGAAGCGGGCTGGCGCCGGACCAAACCCGTCACCCTGACACGCCCATCGTCCACAGCGAACAAGACTGTGATTCATTCGAAATTGGTACACCCTCACTAAGGTCAAATTCCATCCATCCGAATCCATCCGCTAATTCCGCGCATGTCTTATGGTTAGACAAGTCGGTGAAAGTCAAAGTCAGTACATATCGATTTGTAAAAAATCTCGATCATCCGTTTGGCGCCAGGTATGCCTTAAAGTCACGGTCCGCGCTGGTCATGTGGGCGGAGTCACCTACGAATGTGCTGCCTCATATTTGTGTCACTCCTTTCTAGGACGTTGAAAAGGACGTGCTAATGAGGGATGGTGGGTCTGGCTAATTATCTGGGCAGACTGCGCTTTTAGGCGTAGACGTGAGGCGAGCGGATGTGCATCTGGACCATCAGAGCCCATCCCGCCTTTGGGAGAATTCCTGCTAAATGCGATCAACCCCTCGGAACTACCTCCTCTTACACGACCTTCATTTCCCATCTCCCATCCTGTTTCCGTCTTCCTGGAATTTCCCAAGTTCCCACCACTCTTCCGAAGTTTCTGTTCACGAAAATTTCCGGGTTTTTCCAGTTTTGCCTCTGTCGTCGAGAGGACGGTGAGGGGGACGAAGCAGGAGAAACCGAGAAAATCATTAGCCGAAAATACTTTTTCAAAGCAGACACGCCCTCCCCCCTCCCCCGCCTGCTTCCCTCCAAAGCAGCCAGAATACGACTCCTCTTGCTGACGATTCCCAACCTACGACGCGCCCTGTGGACATTATTCGAACTGGGACGATGAGAAGGTTAAATGAGTTAGGTCCTCGGAGAGCTGCGCCTGTGACGCCACAACATGTTCTATACTCGAAATCCCTGAGATCGGGTAGGCGTGGCCGCATGTTTCAACTTAACCTGAAGGTGTCTATGCTTCATCTTGACACAATTGTTGTCGTGTCTCTGTCCAACACAGAACAAGATGACAGTTGTCCCAGACTGGAATATTCCACGAGTAACCAGTTCCGTGCCATGTTCAAATGCCACGCCTACTCTGGCTCAGGGATAAGGAGTGTATGTCCAACGTTTCATACGTTATTTTGGAGAGCTAGGTTGGCTAAAACATGAGGCTAGTAAACTCACTTGTACTCTTCGTCTTCCATCAGTTTGTCAGGTTGAGTCAATTCCTCAGTTCTGTTGGATAATTCGGATAAGGTCATACTTTTCATGACAGGTAATTGGAAGACAATGGATATGAATAGAAGATCGAGCAAAAGAGACGTGAGCAGGTCCTTTTTCTGCAGAACACGGAGTAATTATGCACGTTTTCATAATGAAATAGTAGCGGAGCATAGAAATACGCTCACAGTATTCAGTTCGCCGCACAAGTAACGCTCGCAAGCACGTTTCAATACTGGAAGGTCATTAAGTTCGGCATCAATGAGAAAATCGACGAAGTCCTCAACGTACTCCATTCCGGGCAGAACGATCTTGTTGAAGTACATATTGGCAAGAAGCTGAATTTTAGTGCATAATTTACAACATTACAATTTACACTTTACAGTGAAGAAACATAGTGAAGCTATGAGGCCTGTGCCGATCATTTGTGACCCTATTACATCCTCGGCAAACCTTTTATGCATTGAAAAAAAATTCCAAACGGAAATAGGATGTGTGGCACATCTCATTGGAAAAATTTTCTCGCGTCTTTTAGAAGTTGCTCTTCTTTTCTCAAAGGTAGATATAACTCTCAGCAATAAAACACGACGCCACAGTAACCGGGTGCAACCTCCCAAAGGGATTCTCCCAACAGTGCTGTGACCTTACACGGGATCGCTGCTACCCTTTACTACCCTCACTGGGACATTAGCGCAGTATTTTTCAGGCAAAAACTAGTACAGAACTAAATGAGGTTACTGTAATGATCATGCAGAAGAAGAAAGACCTATGATGTAACGGGACTAAGTGAAGGAACTGAGTCGTTTCGCCTCTAACTTAGATGTTGGAGATGAGATGGAGGAATGGCAACTAGCATGACTACCACGCGCATGGTCCGGGGATGAATCACGAATCGGCTCCCCCCCCTGGCCAACCAAGCATTTTACTCCCTCCCTATGGAAGGTAGATTGGTACCAGATTCGTCTAGGAGTGTAAGAACAGTGACTAAGACATGGAATATCATAATATTAGGTGATGCATGTGTTCTGGCCCCCGCTTTTTTTTTGTAAACTATCTCAATACGCGAAACCGGCCTGAAGAGTATATGCACAACACCGATTCCACTGCTTTCGACGCGAGCTCATGGTAGTTGTCCACCCTCCCAGAAGTACGGGGCTGGGACCTGAAGAAGGCCACAATGCCGCACAATCGCCACTGTGACGTGGTTTCTCAGTGGTAATTGTGCGGCATTGTGGCCTGCAAATGCAGGGTAGGTGAGTGATAGCTAGTGTGATGAAAGATATCATGTACAGTCTCATCACTGCCTAGCCCCCTTCATGTGGGGACCGTGAGCCGTGCGGCTGCGTTATGCCGGGCTGGCCAAAGTCGTTCTGCACCAGTTGTTGAAGCGGGCAAGTGACATTACTGTATTATATCCTTCGTATTACTCGTTTTCTACCACTTTTTGTCGCATACGCGTTTCAACAAAAGGGCTGAGAACGGCTTAACAGTGTGCACACTCATACTGGCTGACACGCCCCACCGGTCCGCAATGATGAGGGACTTGATACATGCTCACGCATACGTGACGGCGAAATCACCGAACATTCCTTGCAAAACGAAATAACGGAAGATCAAAACAGGGGGGGAACTCATGACACCAAACCTTATACATCGGCTGGCCACCGCAAGTCATTGTATAGGCCACATCGCATTCAATAAGCCACTACGATTCTGAATGGAAGTAGAATGCGTGCCGCATCCCGCAAAGGGATTGATCAACGGCGAAGACTTTATCTGCTTTTTTGGCAGCCTTTATGCTCCGGATAAACCATGATTTTAGGAAGCCATAGGACTAAACTCACATCATGCACATGCTCCTTGTCACTGTCGCGACACTCGAAACACTTTTCCTCTTCTTCGTCGCTAGACTCGGTCTCCTGAAAAGATAGGGGATTTCCAGGAAGAACTGAAAACATATGCTGTGAAGAAGAAGCCTTGTATACTCAAAATCCCTGAGATGCGGTAGGCGTGGCTGCGTACTCGAACTGAACGTGGCGGCGGCTAAGGTTTTCGTGAGATATTTTCATTTTGGGTCATTTGTAATCATATCCTCGTCCAATACCGAAGAACATGACAGTTTTCGCAAATTAAAATGTTCCATGAGTAACCCATCTTATGCTTTCAAATGCCACGCCTACTCCTTCTCAGGGATAAAGAGTGTACATTGCATGGGAGACTCAATGCATGTTGGTCTCGCATGTGGAGTGGCATGCGTACCGTTCTTTCTTCTAGAGGTGCACCCCTGCTCCCAAGACCGGGGCTCACCAATGAGGAACGCATGATGATTGGCAGTCCCCGCCCTTACGATTGGCGTGCACTATGTCTTCAAAGAAATGGGAATTTTTCCCTCGCTCTCATCTATGATCGAAATTTATTATTTGTACACGAAATTTACCATGGGAAAGCTTACTATGATATTTTTATTGCCCCATGTGTTTCCCACGACATTCTTACCTCTCCGTCATCTGCTTCATCTTCTGTCTTGCTATCGTAGATGAATGAAGCTCTCCGCCGTTCACATGATTCGCAGCAACTGATCAGCAACTGTAAATGGACAGGCAATAGAGAAAACTGAAGGGTACATTCATGATCCCAGCAAATGATAGTACGTATGAGAGGGCTTCAATTAGAGCGCAGTCAGGACAGCCATTCTCGCCACTTGTTCCAGACTGATGATCGCTGGGGAGAAAGGGTGTCTTGGCAGCGCCCACCCTGTTGGATGCCCTATCGTTTGCGCAGATCGTGGCTAAACGTGGAGAGGGGAAAGAAGCGAATACCTTTTTGAAAAGATGTTCATGATCGGGTGCATGTTGGTGGCTGAGAATAGTTTGAGTTGATCCTCGTCGTGATGGTGGACCACTAACTCGAAGACGATTCACGTCGATGGCCATCTGTCAAAGTGAGCTTGGAAAGAATTCATTGAATGAACTTGTAAAAGTGGTTGACTGACTTTTTCCCGTTCTTGTTCCATCACCTCGGCGAATTTCTTCTCAAAGTCCACTTTCTCCTTTCGACTGAACTTCCCGTTCTCATCCTTCGATTTTCTGGTAGAAAGTCTAGATTCGCGAGGATTGTTCCTTTTGCGGATGGTACATAAAGAATAACAAATAAGGAGTCAGTGCTGATCAATCTGTTCTCGAGATGCGCCAGGGGTTCCACTTCTAACCACTGATTTCGTTACGTGCCCCTACCCGCAAGTGATCTTACTGTTCGGGCAGGGATTAAAGGCAGTCTGCACGATGTTTCCATAGTTAGCCTAAGGGGGGCCTAGGTAGTAGGGCGCTGTATAGTGGGGAAATGGCGAAAGAACGGAGTGAAACGGTCAAAATCCTGCGAAGAAAAAGCCTCCGTTCTCAGTGACTTGTAAATCGATTTCGGACGAGTTTTCCCGTAGGCATCTTACCACATGAGCTACCGAAGATACGGCTGCATATGTGTACCCATGTATGCATGCAGCATCATAGCCGCTTCATACCAATCCCTTCGCTTCATAATTTGCTCAGCAAATGAATCGATTAGAGCGTAAATGGTTAACTGGGGTCCGTCATTGTGGGCGGGGCGGGCGTGGCGGGCGTTCGGGACGTAAATTCGTAGGCTGAGTAGGGCCTCATAGAACACCTTCCTCGGGGAAACGCTATGCAGCGCCTGCCCAGGGTCGCGGAATTCTATCCTGCCAGGAGTATTGATCCTAGTCGTCTTGGGGGATTTATCGTGCCAACTGCCTTTAAGGCAGACAAGTTCTGCAGACATTATCGCTGAGATGCTAAGCTGTGCAGGGGCTTGGTTCGGCGCCGCTTGTCGTGAGCCCGCTTCCAAGTGGGCAATGTGTTTAAGGAACTGAGACAAGTGACAAACCAACAATTACAATAGCGCGGAAACAGGTTGGCGCCGGCGCTAAATTCAGACACGCCTGACCACAAAAGCCAGCGCCTGCAGCCAAAGGACTATGATGAAGGCAGAGATCACTGCCTCTTTCGGAACAGCATTAGCACGGATTTCGAGCCAATAAGAGATGTTTCAAAGGCACTTTTTCACTGTCCTTGTGGGTTCTCATTGTTAAGGGGACGGGGTCATCAGTTGGAAGGGTCACATTTTCAACAGGGCCCACCCATATGACCAGTGCTGAATGTGCCTCTAGCTTAGAAGATCTCTCTTGCTTTTTCTTGCTGTTAAACTCACTTTCTCGACCGCCTCCTCCACACTTTACTGTTGACCCTGGCGTTGTAGTTAGTCGTCAAAAAAGACTTGTGGGGCGTTGGAGAAACCTAAAATAACTCTAAGGAATAATATTTTTGGGAAGTCTTTTTTGACTGACCTTGTCCAAGTAAGTGTAGGGATCGAACAGTTTAGCGTCCATCTTAATCAGCACTGAAACCTTTACGATATTGTCAACGTTATCCTGAAACAAACAATTAAATCAATAACAATGCTCTTTGGCGAGTTGCCAAATTTCAGGGGACGATATGGAATGGATTGAAAGAGTCCGCATGTTGATATCGTCGCAACCCGGAAGGTCGGTGTCGGGGGGGGGGGACGGGCGCGGAATGCGCCACCAGCGGCTGCGTTTTCTACTAATAGTGACCGCTTCAAGAGGGGAACAACCAGTGGTAGGAAGCGCCACTGGATGGCTCATCGTATGCTTTCTAGAACCCGGACTGCGACTATATCAGCTGTAGGCAGTCTGTGAGAAAAGTCCCACCTGAAGAAATTGTGAGATTGGATTTCGGTCTTTTCCAGTCACTTCGATTCCGCGGCCGCGTTGCATGGATATCGTTTTTCCTGGAAACATATTATTCGAAATTTCACGTCTTGAATACCTTCACGGTAGAGCGATAGCTGAAATGGCAGCGTCAGCGCGACAACCTCTGCCCCCTCCCCTGCCATCCCCACTTGAAAAATTCCTCTTTCAGTACGGCTTCACAATCTACCTACCGTCCCACAAAATTCTTCCAGCTAACTGCCGGTTCTCTGAAAATTTCCTCAGTTCTCAAGGAAAATATACGTCTACACCACGCGACGCATGAAAAACAGCAACAGGGATAATTATTTTTGCTACCCGGGAATATTTTTCTCAAGTCAGATACATTCCCCTCTCCATTAATATGGGCCCCCTGAGATTCTACGGTCCCGTCGATACTGTACCCTGCCTGCCTGCCTGTGGACACGTCAACTTGAAAAAGTAGAGAAAAAAATGTTGTCGCTCACTTTCTTCCACGATCTCTGGTTTTTCGTCATTCTTGGCGTCTTTCTGCATCACTCGAACTACAGCTCGGACGTCCACCTGAACAAGGGTTATAAGCGTGCTACTGCAATGCAACCATTATACAGTCTTGTTCGACGCGAGGTGTACATGGTCCTGCGCGAAACCAAGAAACGCAGAGATAGAGGACAGCGTCTGCCAAAGCATCGAGACGTGCAAGAAACTATGGCGAGCCAGGAAACGATTTTTTCAAGGGAGGGGACTCCGGGGTGGGCGGGTGAGCCACTTATCATACGTAAAAAGCTGGAATGTGCGAAGTCACAGGACCACAGAGTGCCACGTGGACAAGAGGGAGCAGTGAAAAACACAAATTCGACGCTTAAAGGAATCGAGTTCGAGTTGACCGTAGACCTCGATGCGAATGCTGCGGCGTGGCTGGACTTGGAGGCAGGCACCAGCTTGTTCTCCACTAAAGTTCGAGCAGGCGTTCGCTTGATGCAAGACAGGCTGACGCCGCGCCAAACCCAGCCCACCTGACGAAGCACCAGCATCCGCAGCATATCTCGCAGCAAAAAGGGTGCACGGCAAACGAGTGGTCAAAAGTTGCCATGCCCTTAAATTAGGCTTGATAAGCGAGGTTATAATGTGCCACTGTCCTCCTTTCAAAATGAGGACAGGAATCGTAGAGATTCCTAAGGAGTCTTTTTGGATCACTAGTCGCCCTGAATGATTTGTCAGGTCGTGGACAGGGCACGTCGTATGTTGCGGTTCCCCAGTGAAAGGATCGCATTCGGTCGCTCGAGGGGAGGGTGTCGTATTCTTCGGAAAAAACTCCTTGAAAGTGGTAGAAAGTTTGGAAAATTTAGAGAAGATTGTAGGTAGGATGGAATAGGTGAGGGGCTCGAACCAGAGGAGGAAGTTTTGAGAAGGGAGGATCGCATTTTGTAAAAATTTCCCACGGCACAATAGGCCCTGACGACGGTTTGGCTAGCAGAAGTTTATTGCGCCTCTTGGACGCAGAAAGAAGAACAAATAAATAAATATTCTATCAAAAAATCCTGACCTGACTAACTGGACCGTCAACGAAGTAGAGCTCAACCGCGACATAATCAGACGGCGGATCGTCCTCTTCGTCCAGATCGTCATCAGATCCATTGAACTAGAACACATACCTCGCATTCCATTCACAGGCAGGCATACAATCGTTTTCATTGCAAACGCTGGGGCGTGTCAGGGACTGGGTTTGACACGGCGCTGGCTTGTTACTCTACCGATTGTTGCCGCTTGTGCGCCTTAAGAACTGATGGAGGACGGGCTGGCGCCGCGCCAAACCAACCCTGGCATGCTTCAGCGCCAGGGAGAACGACTGTATTCTCAAAAGCTGATCATTCAGAAGAGTCGAGCTCACGCCTCACCGAGATCACCTTTATCGACTCTGTGCGCTTTGAAGCTTTTTTCGTAAAAAAGTGCTGTGTGATCAACTCAGGCGCTTGTAACCTGGTGAAGGGGGGGGGGGCGTTATACCTGCACGCGCTTGGCATATGCTTTGTTAAGTCGTGTTAACCAAATACATGTGCATACCGGACAATTGTCTCGAACCCTGTCAGTCCTGTAAATTCCTGGTAAAGGCAATTGGCGCGATCGTGGGGACGGGTGTCGACTGATAATGTCACAGGTGGAAGGGCTGCGAGAGGGCGTTCGACCACAATCTACTCAGCCCTTCCACCGATGACGTTGGCAGTAACTGCCCCCCCCCCCAGCCATTGAGCAACTGCCTTAAAGTACCCTGTAAACACCTGTCAAGCCGCGCAGCTGTATAGCGCCATCTTCAAGATTGACGGTTCTGACAAGTTTGACAGGAGCTTACACAGGTGCATGACAAGTGATAACAAAGCTTGCAGGGCACTTGACAAGGTTGTCCGGTCTTCAAATTTATACAGTTTCTAGGGGTTACGGGAGGCCCCCCAGGTTATTAGCGCCTCAATTAGTTCGCTTGGGCATTGTGTTCACGGTGTTACACTACAATAAGTCCAGGTCTCCTGATAGTAATTTGGACGCCAGTGACGCTTCTATACAGTCTTGTTCGCTGGAATGATGGGGCGTGTCGAGAGCAGGATGGATTTCGCGCAGCACCAGCTCGCTATTTTTCTTTCGGCAAGGCAAGACTGCATCATATCGTTCGTATCAGTCATGTTCCACCTTACCAGCTTCAAAACTGGAGGAGAACGAGCTGGCGACGGGTCCAAATCCAGCCTCACTGACACGCCCCTTCATCCGCAGCGAACTAGACTATAGGTTTTGCTGGCTTCTAAATGATGTGCGCCCAATCCCGCCCAGTCCTTGGTGGCTTCGTCGACCAAGTCTAATTGTAAGTTCTGCTAAGAAAAAACTCACTCTTCCCGTTGTGCCATGGATTTTCAGACTCCACTGGAAGGAAACATGATCGTGCACTGTGGCAAACTTTGGTGAGATGATAAGAATTACAGCGTCATCGTCCGAAACGGCCCGCATCGAGATCTAAAAATACGCCACATCAAAGAGAAGGGGAGGCGGGGCAGTTCGGAGGAGGGGGCATTTTGCACTTTTACATCTTCCCATCGACTCGACCCATCTAGGTAGCCTTTTTGACATGTTTTACCATGGTGGCCCGACGAGCTCGTTCCAGCTCAACATGAGTTCACAGGTTTCACCAGAGTGAAACTTGTAAATCGGAATTAGTGATGCAGCGAACGTGCAAAGTGCCTACTCCCCCTCCCCGCCCTCCCCTCGTCGCCGAACTGCGCCGGGGAAGGCAACATATGGAAAAAAGTGATTGATTGGCACCTATTACACTCTTCTGAAATGCGCCATGTATACGACTTTACTATTATTTCGTAGACAGTCAATGAATCAATCTGCTTGTCTTGGAGAAGCATTTTTCACTCCAGGTAGTCTTCTCCATTAGTCACCCCATTCCCCATTGCGAAGCGCCGTACTGCGCTCATTTCCGGGTCATTTTTTATTTGTCATCAATAATTCGTTAGTAATTCCCTCCCTTTCTTCAATCGCTGAGGAGGTGTGTTTCTTCAGTAATAGGAAACGGTTTTTGACAACACTTGAACGTGAAAAGAAAGCCGAATAAATCAAATCAATAATAATAATAATAGAAACAAACGCATGACACACTGTGTGTGTCACGCGGTCCGAAACGTGTTAATGTTAAATAACAGGTCTCCTTCTGGTGAGACGTGTAAACTTCTAAGCTGAAAAATGGTGAGAGTGAGCGATTTTTGTCATAGGAATTCACAAGTCTTCACAAGACGGCCTGTTCAAGCTTAGCGAGTACCACTAGGTGCCCCCACTAAGCCGAACTGCACCGGAATCAATTATTTTTTCTGGTGGCGTTGTTTAAGTGAAATACACCTCACATAATCCCAACATTAAGCTTTACAAGGGGTAACCTTCAAACGCCTGAACGTCAGAAGTCTACTCATCCTCAAGGTCTATTCCACTCAAGCAGTGGTGGTAGCAAGCATGAGTTTCCAATCAAAATGACCAAGAATGGTCCTTTGGTGTGGATTGTGAGCCTTACTAGTGGTATCTTTTGCTGTTTGCTGATGCTCCTCTCATATGTCCTGGTCTTTCGATCCTTTTCCGGACGCAGGCCCGTGTAATTGGAGCCTATCGCTTGTATCCGTAGGTTTGATGGAAAATTGTTGATTCTAGTAAGTGTCAACAGTAGTGGGTAAAGAGCTATAGCCTGCGGTAGGTCTTGCCGAGTTCTGAGGCCTGTCGATGAATAATGCGAAAAATGTTGATGGTGAGAGATTTCTGGCTTACTTGTGGGAACCTGGTGATTTGTCCTACCTTAAGAATACTAATAAATATTTTTCCTACCTTAGGAATACTCGAGAATATCTCATTTTATCAGAAGAAGCGTTTCTTTGGCCGGCATAACATAGCGTTTGGAAGGAAGCGTTAGAAGTTCTTTGCGTGTGAGAAGGCAAGCTCACGTTGCAGCAACGCGCGCGGCACTCGCACCAGGAATGGATAGTGTGCTAGGGTAATAACGAATTCCATCACAATGTAAGTCGTATGTAGCTTCGCTGGCTTGCGGTGGGGTCGTATTGGGGGTTGAAATCAAAAAATCAGGCTAAAAACACCCACTCTGGAGGGGAGGGGGATCCGGGTGCTGGGCGAACATGTTGTGTAAGTCGTAGTGCTGGGATGTGAAGGTACCGAGACCTTCTTTCTGCGGGAGGGAGGTAGGGGGTTTACTGATACCGCCATTTCATTACTCCCTATGATACACCCTGCGTGGATATGCTCTGTGTCGAGTTAACCAGCAAGGACATACTAGCTAGTTCGTGCGCGGTTTGGACTAATGTCTCGACCCGCCAGATCCCTAAAAAATCATGAGAAAATGAAGAAAATGCATTGACTTCCGAAATGAAAACAAAGGAGAAGCAGAAGAATTTTTCAAAGTACTGGACTGGTTGAAAGTTGATGGTTTAGCTTACCTTCGTATTCCACACGTAACAAAAACCAATCCGTGAAGTCGAAGTTGTCTCATCTTTGTTGGGAGCAGCAGTTTGGGTGATCATGAGCCGCTGAATATTGACGAGACGGCCAATCGACTGAGACAAGCTTGGTAAGAAGGCAAATAACGAAAGCATCAACCGAATTAAGGTAAAAAAGGTAAAGAAGAAGGTGAGAAAAGCACTGGTAAGAGGTTAAAAGTGTCACTTCAGTGAATAGCTTCAAGAATTCTCAGCACGCTTATCCGGAATTTGGTGACGGCACAAGCCCTTTCACTGAATCAAATCCACACCTGGGAGAGCCAATGGTTGACGGCTTTTGTTCCGCACCACAAACACGTTTGTATGATAGTCCACTTACGGGGAATCCGGTACAAATCGATGTCCAGAAATGCGCTCTTAACCTCCACACGAAGTATGGCACCAGTTGGCAGGGGACTCCCTAGTGGTTAATTCCTGATACGCGTACAGGTCGATCAAACCTTCTATGAAGGGACGGAAATCGCAAACACATGACCATGGGCTTTTCCTTTGGGTTAATCAACCGTCTGCCGTAAGGAGAATTTGCAAAATAGGCCCCATTCCTCGAAATTTCCTCCTCTAGTACGACCCTGTTCCTATTCCCCACCACGACCGAACCACTTTCTAAAGTCTCCCACAGCTCTCTTACCCTGCCACTGTTCCCGGAGTTTCTAATTCCAGAAATTTCTCCAGTTTTCCAAAAGAACTGCTGTGTTGCCGACAAGCGGGGGGAGTGGGAGGTGACAGGTGCATAGCGCGCGCGCGAATTGGAAAAACCAAGAATGGTCAAACAAATCAAAGCAAAGCTCATCTCCAAACAGGTAAACTACGGACCCTGCGACCCACGACCCAAATAGGCAACCACCCTTGAACTAGGATTCGCCCGCCACGCGTCCTAGGAGACTCATGGCCTCTACTCTGCTGCTGAAGAGAAGGGCAAGTGGAACCTGGCTTTCAGAACGTTTTGTAGCGTGAAAATTCATGTGGGGACCCCAAAAAATAATATTCGTTTGCTTTGGCGTTCTATGAATTCGCCAAGGAGAAACGGAAAGGTTCCTTGAGCAAGGAAGTTTTCCGTTTCTCCACTTGGAAATTCATAGAAAATTTAGCTAAAACTTACTTTTTAATAACTCAGCTCAGGAGCTCTGGCATTTAGGACAGAATTCCCCGAAGGAGAATGGTGTCTTTGCGAGCGCGTTCTTAATTAATCACCAAACGATTTCAGGTAGAGAGCTGGAGTTTGTGCAAAGTTAATACAAACGATTTCGACTCATAGTGGTAAACATTGCAGGGTTGAAATGTTCTGTCACCATGACGATTCGAACCATCAAGCCACCAGTTGAAAGAAACCAGTACCATTATTCATGTTATTTAATCTGCTGCGCCGCAACGGACGTGGCAGCGGTCAGTCAGCTGATAGCGAGTGCGTAAAACATGGCAATACTGAGTAAGAGAAGAAAAAAAAAAGAAAAAAATTGAAATAAATAACACAACTTAAACAGAAGCTACAACCCGAAAACTAAGGAAACAAAGGTCAGATAGTACTGAACTAATTAACTGCGTAAAGACAGATCTTAGGAATAACTCATATGAAAGAATTTGGTAGCTGCCAGGCTTACTAAGCCAAGAAAGATGCACGTTGAGGTCGTATGTTGGTTTTATGGGACAAAGGGTATTGATGGCATATTGGAAGTATCAGGGGCAGCTTATGCTCATATTAAGGAAATATTAGGAATACATCGCCATCACCTCATGAGCGGCATGTGGCCGCCCAGCTGCATTGTCGGCGCAAGATGCCCAGTCGCCGCTTTCGGGGATGGGAGCTTATTGAGAAAAAAAATTAGAATCAGAAAATATATCTGTACTCAATTTTCTGCACGGAATGACGGGGTATTGCCGACATATTGAACGTCCTCATTCCAGTGTGAAACAGCAGCTCCATAAGCGGCGAAAGTGGCTTTCCATTGTTTGCACAACACCTCCCCCCCACCCTTCCACCCCCACCTGTAGTGTGCAGTTTCCAAAATGCAACCACTTCTCCTGAGGTAGTGTCGAAAAAATTAGCCAGATTCACTGCGAGGTTCTTTTATTTAGATCGAGTACGTGACATATCTAGAGTGGCGCAGAGGATAGCGATTGGTGTTGATGGGAAAATTGTGAAGCTCCAGACATTTGGCCTTGACTTGGAATCGCACGCGATTTTTGTTGCTCACAGTAATTCACAGAAGGCAGAGGAATCTGAGTCAATTTTGCTCTTCTGATAGCTCTGGTAAGACGAGTATTTTGGACGAGTACCTCGTGTCCTAAGAACCAGTTCAGCAACATTATGCACGCAGGAACGAGGTGTTACCGAAGCCTCGAGTAGATCGATGAGGAACGGGAGTACATCCAAAATGAAGAAGGGCTTGACTGGCGCGGACAAGATAATAAATAAGGCCCTCCTTTTTTCAGCTAATTCCAAACGAAAGGCAGAGGCTTGTAAAATTGGCGAGACCATCTAACCCGGCCAACACTAACCATCAACAGCTGCCCCCCCGGGGCACGGTTGTACGCTGGAGTCCTAGGGACCGGTATGGTATTTCTTTGCTGGGAAGATAGAGTGGAAGGTCAGCATTGAGTTAATAAAAAAGAAAATTGGTTCTGATTGATTTTCAAGGTTTCCTTGTTTTGGTGACTTTACAGGCCCCTGTTCCTCGTTCGATGGGAGATTTTTCGTGAGAAAAAAGAATGTGCAGGTAAGATGGCAGATTGGAGTCGTATCAAAAAAATACTGCTGTACCTAGAAATAACCTACCGCTTCCCCTGAAAGGAGGGCTCCGGGTACAAACTCCCCCCCTTCTCCAGCGAAAAGTACGTCTCCCCATGTGTGTTTCACACAACGATGTTGTACGCCTGATGCACAACTTTGACAAGAGTTTACTAGGTTACCATAGAAGGCATTGAAGAATGATCGAGTGGAGACCAGAATAAAGCCGCCCAACGCCAAACGATCCTGGCACGCGGCCCGCTCTTGCACAATACAAATTTGCCAGAAACAAAGAAACACTCACGAAACTACTGCGACCCGTTCTAATCCTTTCGCCCACCGCAGGAATTGAATGCCTATAGGTGAGAAGAGGATTCTATAGAGAAGTGGGTCTCCTGTAGAGAGTAACGAAAAATTTCTCTAGAAAGTTAAATGATTACAAAAGGAGAAAAGAGTGGCAGAAATTCCAAGGAAACATCGGTCACTGCTGTACTGCAATAGTGAAAAAGCAGTAAGGGAAGAGGCGAAACAGGTTTCTCACGAGTTCGCAAAACAGGATCACATGAAGGAATACCCTTCTCAAAATTCAATCTCGTAGGCGGACCACAGCTGGTCTGAATGGCGCAGGCGC